TTGTACTTGCAGGGCGTCGTCTAATTCTCATTGCTTATGACGGATTATGGTTTGCAAGGTCTTTTTGAAGTGTGAAGGGTGAATATATGCCCTGACATCTAGTGGGATTTCTTTCTTCTGTACAGCTCATTACTATTGCCTGTTACCACAAAAAGAATCGTTTTGGCATTACACTTAAAAGCAAGGGCCAGCTCATTCGTGAGAATGTCATACTTCCTCATCTGCTCCCCAGTTTATCTTGGCATAGTATTTATAATTCAACTATGGTTATTTCCTACTTTAAAAATTCATGTGTAAACAAGTATTATCTATTATTATTTATTCCAATAATGGTTTTTGTTATTATCCACCCATACTCCTGCTCTGTCATTTTATACAGTATTTGGGACAGTTTTTTCATGTCTTTAATGCTCTTAATACAAATTATTTTTCTTATGTCTGATTATTGTGTTATGTTTGCTAGTGTAGTTGTATTTGAACATTAGCATATTAAGAGAAATATCATTTTATTATAAACTGTTTTCCTTTGTTTCTTCTTTATAGTACAGGTAAGGAGTCACGTTGATCTTTTAGAAATAGGTTAAATTATCTCAGAATGTTGTCGGGATAGTAAAATGAGTATGACACAGCAAGAGGACATTGGTCCTGCTCAGATTTGGCCTCAGAATATTACACGTTCATTACAGTCCATATTTTAGCTTCTTTCATTTACTGGTAGAAAACCTTTCCCAATTGTTACTCCACATTTTTTTTTTAAAGCTCTTAGTGTTAGATATTTAATCTAGTTTTTCTTTTAAATCCATACATTTAAAGAATTCAGAACTTGAAATAATTCATGCATACTACTTAGATAAAACATTACAATCTTTTTCACCCCGCATAGCAAACATCATCATGCTCTTTTCTGCCCATTTTGAAGCAGATGTCCATATGTGGAAGTCTGTGAGTGTCTGCAAGATTGATTGGTTTTGGCTTAGGTTCCTCTAAAACCTGTCCACATTCTGATGAAAAAACTTCCCAACACTTTAATTAAGAGAGGTACTAACACTTTGCTCATTTTACCAATTGTAAACCTTAGCAGACAGAATATGAGGCTAAAAGGGAGTAAGAATCAAGGACTAGAAATCAGAATACAGGGTTTCCTACCTCCCAGGTCTATATTCAGAGAGGCTTTGGTTGAGGATTTTAAGGTGAAAGCCAGCCTCCCTGAGAGTGATCATGAACAGAGGGGATTTAGGATTCTAGTGAAAGAAAAGAGAATAACCTGAAAAACAAAGTAAACGAATTTAAAAAATATAAACGGACAGAAATTAAGGGAAATAATAGATTGGATAGAAAGTAACCAATAGATGCAAAAGTATATAAGAGGACCTGATGTTCTTTAGAGAAACCTTTGCCAAATGGATGACCAGATTACATTTTCCAATATACTGGGAGGAGGTAGAAAACAGGTGACCAAGTGGACTCAGCCAACAGCTGGATAAATCTCTAATGTGTGACAAGTGCTTGATTAAATATAAATTAGGCCAAGTCCCATCTACAAAGGAATGTTCTGCATTTAGAGATCAAGCTAGAGGCTAAAACAACTGAGAAGAATTTGAGATTAAAGGTATTTAAAATTTTTATGATAGGGCTACTTGAATTTATCATGAGTTACAAGATGCTAAAAGAGAATATGATCTCTCTTTGATGGTGCTGGAAATATAGAAAGGATATCTGATAATTTTTTCAAAAAGTAATGCTTCTTTTCTTAAGATAATTTCTCTTGAGGACCAAATGGGACAGGACAGAGGGAAACAAAAAAATTGAGTTGTTGCCAAATCATCAGGTCTTTATACAATATCATTTAGGGCACAGAGTTTATTTGGCTAAAGTTAATACAAGTGAAATTGCTGGTATAATTTAACATTAAAGGAAATGCAAATTCAGTGTTTAATAATTGGATTTTGTGAGAAATACTGCCAGGAAGCATAAGGCAACCAGTTTAACAGAAAGATATATAAGAAGTAATCATGAAATTATATGTAATCTATATCCATATTGTGTTTCAATGCATGATATACACTTTACAGAAGAAAACTCTCACCTTTGAAAATCAATTTGCAAGTTCTTATAAGATTACAAATATTCGGTAATGGCCAATGTACTTTATGAGAAATATGTTGTATCAGATCAACTGATTTGCTTTTTGAATCTGATAGGCTTTGTAGCTAGAGAGGAGGTGAAACCTGTAATAATTCTTGAGAATAGTTTTGTTTCTGGCTCATAAAGTAGATTCATAGACAAGTTGGAAACTCAATAAACCATTGTTGGTGAGATACAGAGTTACTTGGGATAGTAAGGAGGTGGAAAAAAGAGAACAGTGAAATTACACTAATGATTTACTTACTAGGTAAGACAAGTGGGGTTAATTTTTATTGATGACTTGGAGAGTAGAATAGGCAGAGAAACCATGAAATTTGAGGTGAAGATCAGTTTATGAGAGATTGAAGTAGGATTAGGTTCACCTCTCCCATGTTAGAGAAATTGTTAAAAAATATTATGTACACACACATATAAATAGTATATGAAATTTGCTTGAATTAACTTTTTTACTCTTTGATCATAGGCTATATTTTTAGATCTCTGACATTTCAGTGTCAGAGTGCAAAGGGAATTTATTAAAGGGAAACAGAGGTGATCTTAAGAAAGAAGGCTAAATGGAAACTATTCTGTTTTTGGAGAAAAGAGTGAGCACCAATTTGCTGTTTTTATACTGTAATATCACATCAAGATTGGAAGTAGCCAGCTAGTATCTGTCCACTGAGGACAGATGAAGGAAAAAAAATGCACATTTCTGCAAGAAGGATTTAGGTTAGCTTTTTGTGTAACAAGAAGTAAAATAGATTTCCCAAGAACGTTAAAAAATGGGCTCCTTTAGAAATATAGATTCACTCACCATCTGGGCAAGGGATTTAGCCCACACACTGGTCTGAAGGTAATAAACCAGATGATCTTGAAGGTCTTTCATATGTGTGCCTCAATTACTTATTTTATTTTGGTAAAAACATTTATTTTTGGTTGAGTTAGTTCTTGAAAAACAACTGTAATTATGCATTTATATTTCTTTCTTCAAGAAAGTGTAGAAATTCATCTTTTGTTTTAAATCTTGTAAATTTAAATGTGATTTAGAAACAAAGTCAAAAAAATTTTTTAAAGCACACTTAATGTATTTGTCCATATCTAATTAATATAACTGTTCTATAAAAATCTTAACGACCCAGTCAAATATTTTTTAATGTTTTCAAAACCAGAATCTGAACAAATAAATAATGAAGACGTTGGAGGACACATTTACATTAAGTGTGTATTAAATTTGCACATGTTTATCTAATTTGGGGGTTTAACTTCATAAATTCTAATATGTTAAAGCTTTCTACAGTGGTTTAGAATTTCCTAATCCCAAATTCTGACTTTGATGATTCATTTTTATTCTAAGACTGTTGCTATTAAAAAATGAATCATTGAGGGAAAAGGGTAGGAGATTAAATGGATTAGTTTATGAGACTAAAATATTAATGTAGTTTGAATGATAACTATGTGAACTACTAGTTTGGAAGCTAAGCCAGCTCAATGTCTATTTATTAAGAAAAATTAGATTTGTTTCTCACTGCATTTAAAAGATCATGGGGAAATTAATGTCTAATACTTTATATCTAATAGCTAAATGCCAAAGCCAGTCATATTTCACATAGGCAACTTGGCAAGAGCTCTCTGTATTATGTTTCTGGAGGTTATATTCTGAATTACACCAAAACCACCACCACAGCTGACACTAATTTGTTCCCTTTTAGAAATCACAGTGGACAGGCCAAGGATAGAATAATCATGTCAATGAAATCGCATCCCACTACTGGAAGTCACTTGCACGGATCCTTTATGAAGTGCTTACAGAATAAAATTGGGATGGGAAGGAGCTGCCACAATTTTCCTTACATACAAATTACCCTGGGCTGCTGACCAGAAAACATCTTTAGTTTCTAGTGCTGTTAATTCATAACTGTCACTAGTTCTGAATTAATTAGGGAAGCAATTGAGAAATAAATCAATGTAAAAACTTCACAGTGATCAGAGTAGCAGTGACACACGGAAGAGGCCCAAACAGTGACTTTTAAATAACAATGGTTACTGGTGGAGACGTGTTCATGCAACACACAAGCACACATGAGTCACTGTCACCATATGTACACAACCACAGCAGCATGCATGGCTATGTTAAGACAAAGCCCCCAAATTTTCAATTTGATGAGAATAACATGATTATTATAATGTTATGATTCCTTGTATCTATGACAACATTGTAGAAAAACAGGTAAATTTCAAATTTTTAGCTGAATCCAGATTTATCCAGAGGGATTGCCCCCTAAGACATTACCCTACAGTAGCTGTAGGTCATGCCAGTGATTTTTAGACTATTATAGGACACAATTTAAAATGACTGAAATGTAATATAGAAAAATAGAAGATGACTCTCATGCATGTACAGTGTACTACTACAGTAAGCTTAAAACCATACCCCCTGCCATCCAGGAGCGTGAAACTAGTTTTAAGGAAACAAAAGAGGAACAAGTGAAGTGATGCTGTCATGTAGCACTTTGATTATTTAATCTTGTATTCAGAAACTTTTTTTTTTGGCTGAAATAGGCTAATGTGCCTCTTTCACCCGGGAATATATTTAACACAATATATGTTTCTTTCCAAATGGCTTAAATATCTAGGAAGTGTTCATTGTCAACCTAGGCTTCTCCTTCTTGCAGGAAAAGGAGTTCATAATCACTTGGGTAACAAGCCGAGAAAGTAACAATGTCTCCAGCAAAATCAAGCCGTGATGTCTCCACCAGGCACTTGGACTAGCTAAGGGCAGCATGATGCACTGAACAGGGCATACAGCAGGCAAGTTAACATGCTGCGTAAAGGGGTGCTTGGAGCATCACACGATGAAATTTGAGTTCGTACATTACCTTTGACATTGCGACCATTGTCTGTTTTGAGCACACAAGGATAAAAAAGAGAGAAATATAAAAAGAAGACTAAAATTATGTACACTGAATTATCTCTGTAAAAACAATCAGAGAAAACAGGATGTAATGATTGGAAATTTATCTTCGAAATTAACATTTTGTACTAGTCAACCAAGTTATATGCATCTATCAAAAATACCTGCCATCTTAAGCATTCATGTTCAAATAGGTGATACATTTATCTTACTTAACTTAAATGAACTCTAAGACACCTCTTCATAGTTAGAACAGTTTGGAGAAAGAGATCCCCAGCTGCCTTCAGTTGTGATAAAAACTTTCAACCTCGTCAGAAGACAATTTTTAGCATAATTTCAACCATTGTTTATAAAGAAAGACTACACACATTTTGCATGTAACTTGAAATAACTTTTTTCATGTAATTTAACCTAGTATGTGAATAAGGAAACATGTTTCTAAGACAACAATTTACCTTAAACCAACTTGAGTTATTAATTACAATTTCATTAACTGCCCCTCCCACAAATGTTCTTCAATATATATTTAGAAATTACTAAAGAGTACTCAAAAAGTAATTCTTAGCCAAAAATAGTTGTAAGGAACTCAGTGAAAGATTTGACTCTTTGAGATAACAAGAGATTTTTAACTTTATGTTGTTACAGTGCACTTAGTGTAAAAGCACAATAGTCAGGAAAATCATGTATATTAAAATAGGCTTTTATTCCAATCTCTGAGTGGAATGTTTTCAGAATTGTTTTGAGATTAGCACTCTGACTCGGTTGCATATTTGCTACTAACAAAATATGCTTTACTAGTTTTGAAACAAACAAGCTTAAAATAAATGAAGTCATGCCAAAACCATCCAAATATACCCGATTTGAAAAATCAGTTCCACACTTGTGGATATCTATTCTAATGCTGTGCATATTTAAAATCTTGGGATATATTGTGACTTTTTTAAAGTTTAAACTGAAGCAATTTCAATAATGAAGCATATTAAATTGTTAGCACAGACACTGCCTCAGACAGAGAAACACAAATAAAATTGTGACCTTACTTGACAACTGTCTTTGCCCTTTAAGGAACCATGAAAAGCAAATAGGGATAGTGGAAGAGACCTTGATTACATAGGATTAATTATTTCCATCAGGTGCTAGTCCTCAAAATCATTAGTAAAGTAACGCTTGCAAGTGATTAAAAATTATAACTTCTTATCAAACCTTGAAATTATACACAAATATTGGAAAATTTCAAAAAACCTGACCAAAAGTTATGTGGTTAATGTTGCTTTCACATACTAAGGTAGAACATGAGGTCTGGTGTTAGCTGAGATCTTCTTGTTATTTTTCCATGACAATATAGTGCACAAATTAAAGTAAGAATTTAGAATTCTGTTGCAATTTGACAGAATAAGTTTATGTCTGTTCAATCTAATAATAAAACAAATGAGGTTTACATTTTTCATGCCTGCTTTGTGTTTTTAACTTCATTTCTCTAGTAGGGCATTTTTATTGTATTTACAAATGTGTTGGTCCATGACACATCAGAAAAAGATTCTGGTCTTTCACCTACAAATGGTTTGAGAAGTACAATTCTGAGATACTGGTAATGTAGATTAAATGAAAGGATAATGTAAAACCTTATGCATTAATATATTTTCAAATTATTTAAAGTTCTATAAAGATATCCCATAGAGGGGCTAACTTCTCTCCTGAATGAGGAGACAGCAATCTAAATTCAAAATATAGAGCACATGGGATTTAACTGATTAACTAGTTACATGGATTCATGAAACTAAAATCAGTTTCAAAGTATTCCATCTTCACTTATAAGTGGTTCCCTTTCTAAAACACATCAAATTCTGTAGCCTTAGGAAGTGTAGCTTCTATGATAAGTGATTTTGTAGCTAAAATTGCTCTGAAGCTGTAAAAATACCCTCAATTTATCAATCAATAGCCAGACATTGACTGTAGTATTGGCAAGAAAGTGATACTTTTTTCTTTTTAAATAACAGAGCTTGAGTGGGGGAATAAAATTAAGAATGATCTTAACACCAAGCCTCCATGTATAGAACCTGTACTGAGAAATCCAAAAGTATTAAATAATCCTTTCTAAATGGAGATTACATGAAATTGAAAACAATGAAGTTAAATCATGAAATCTGATCTAACCTATTCAGTGCCACTGTTAAAAAACAGGCAGAGTCTTTACCAAGCCCTGATTAATCATTTAATATTCAAATTTACTGTTTCTGAACGTTATTATACTGTAATTCGGGCTCTAGGCAATAGACCAATCCCTGAAAAATCAGTATGATTCCTAAAGATGAGGATACTAATTGGACTCACTAACTGAAATGGATGTTGGTCATCTGAATTATCGTGTTGGACTTTTTGTCGTTCATTCACAGGCTCCATTTTTTGGAGGTTTCATTCAGTCAGGGGATGCTGAGCAGGCCATCACTAGATGGCATAGGGCCTTTGATGATTATCCAGTTTAGGAACTGTCCTTGATTTATTTCCCTTTCTACTTTCTTTGGACTAAAGATTAAAATGGAAGTACTAATCGCTCCTACACTATATACAGTTTCTCAACTATTTTGTATAGAAAACTGTTCCTTCTCTTTTTTGTGAAATTGATTTACTTTTCTTCAAAAGTTCCTGCCAATTCATTTTCTTTTACCCCTTCTACCTTCTCCACTTCACTGTGCCTTTAATAAAGATCCTTCACATGATTCAACCCTAAGATTTTGGGTTAATTTCAGAGTATTATGGAGTAGATAGCTCATCCGTTCCTGACGTGTGTGTTTTTGTAGTATGATACATGAACAAGATCCCCTCAGTTTCCCATCAACATTTATTGAGTTCCTGCCATGAAACAGGCAGTTGTGCAAGATACTAAGTTGTGCAAAGCCAGCTATGCCAGGGCTCCCATCCTCGGGTAGCTCTCAGCAATGTGTTATTTGCTTGCATATTTAACAGGAATGACAGACAGACATATGGACTAAATAGAGAATGTAACAAATACTATAATATATGTAAACACCACTGTGCACACTCAGGTGTGAAATCATTTAATTCTTCTGATTTGGGAAGGGAAAATGGGTCCTTCTGGCTGTAAGTCACAGTGTAAGAGGGGCAAAGTGAGTATTTCTGCCAGAACACACTAAGGAAGTGAGAAAATGGGTGTTACATTTTTGGGAAAAAGCGATTATCTTTTGCAGGTTTAGAATAGAGCGCATAGTACAGGAAGGAGTCTTGCAGGGGATAGAAATGAGTCTTGAAAAACAGCTGCATTCAGCTGGCAAAGTGCCTGGGACCCTGCATCATGGAGCCCTTGATCAGAGTTATGTTTTAAAAGGACGACCAGCAGCAGCATGGGTGAGGATGGGCGTTCACGGAATGAGTACCACAGATGGGACAGTGGGCCTCTCAAGAGCCCAAGCCTATGGGCTTCACAGAAGTGGGACTGATGTAGGCATGCAACAGGTACTCTGAATCTCTGGAGCCCCTGGGGAAAGTTTCATGAGTCAGCAGACCCCCTCTAATGGCAGGTTTCACAGGGCAGGGGTGCAGGGAAAGAGCATTGCATGGATGGATGGTGGAGGCTGGAGACAGGCTCATGGGTTTGAAGGCCAGCTCTGGCACTCCGTAATCTTGGGCCACTGATTTATTTCACACATCTCAGCCTCAGCAACCTCATCTATAAAATGGAGCTTAATAATGGTTCCTAACTCACAGGGTTGCTATAAGAATGAAATGAAAGTGAATGTATATCTAGCATATACATAGCCTCATACATAGTAAATACTCAACAAATGTTATCCATTATCATGTTAATGATGAATTGTTTTTATCACCGCCCTCTAAACATGCTCTTCACCACTGGCTAATATAAGAATGTGAACATGAAGAGGCCAAAGAGAAATAAATGAATTCAAGTTGGTTTTGGCTGAGATCAAGAATTTAAGGCTTTTTTCCCCTCTAAACCTTCTCCCTTCCCCTTATCTGTCTCCTCCCCACCCCCAATCAGTTTATAGCTTTCTGAATATTAAGTACACCACATTCATACATCTCTTCCTTTGGAAAGAGTTGGTCAATGAAATAGTCCTGTGCTGGCACAGCGTTCTTCCAGCCCAGGGCTTGACTATTTGTCAAATGCAGCAAAATTAGTTATGCTAAGGCTGATGGCGTCATCATCTAAGTGCATCTTACAGGAGGTACTGATTAGTTACCACTCCATAAGGTAGGCAGATGATGGTTATGTACAATTTCAGAAACACAGATAAGAAGCCAGAAGAAACCAAATTTGACTAGGGTTTAAAGAGGAAATCAGTAACAGCTCTGAATACAGAATTCATATTTGTCATAGCCTTTACTCAACATTTCTTACCCAAACACATAAGGATTAATGTCAAAATTAAAAACAATATGGAGATTACCTTTCATTACCCATTAATATATATTTCCATATTTAAAGTAAACCTACCTTCACTGGCATGTCGGTCTCTAAATACGTTCTTGGGGTGGACACTGAAGCCTTCTATGTCATGAACTGAGGAAGCCCTCCGGATACTACAGATGCTTTCTTTCGATCTGGAATGAGTCAGCTGGGAACTTGACTGCAGCATGTCAGGGTAAAGTCGGTCCCATTGCCGTTTGGGAGAGGAATGGTCAAGAGGTCCAGATATATTCACCAAGGGGGAACATTTGCTGGGTTGTATCAAAGCTTTTGTATCATCTGCTTCGGAGGGGCTGCAGCTCTCTTTCGTAGGGGACTTAAAGTGCTTCATGGCTACTGAATCATCGCTGTGTTTAGATGAATCGATTACTACCACATCAGGGTCTTCTTGTGGTAAGGACTGCTTTCTGTAAGTGAGAACTCTCAGACCAGGGAACTTGAACCCAAAAAGCTTCCCTACAAAGAGAGACAAGAAAGAGCGCTATTACAAGATAAAGGGTACATCCTTTAAAACAGACTTTGTTGACTTATATCTACATGCCATGCAAAAAGAATTATTAATCAATATTAATGAAGTCATTTACAGTTCCAGTGAGGGATAGTAGAGAAAACTTCTCTAAGACCAATATGAATTATCATATAAGCAGTAAGAAAATAGTAAAATAACTTTATCATATTTCTGATGCTTACTCAAGTGACATGAAAGCATTATTTGGGTAACACAAGGTTTTTTGTTTTAATAAATTAAAGACATATATCTACTCTACATCCATTTTTTAAGGAAATTTGAAGGGTGGAAAACCATAGAAAGGAAACGAAGGGATGGGGCATCATATATAAAAGGGTCAGACACAGAAAAAAATTATAGTGTATGCCTATGTGTATGTGTGTGTGTGTGTGTGTGTGTGTGTGTGTGTGTGTGTGAGGGGGTGGTACTGTATTAGAAGTAGAAGGGAAGGTGGGGCAAAGAGTTGGCCAGACTATTCTAGAAGGTTTGTATTGGATAATATTGTGAGTCAAGTGTGGTTGGATAAAGTGGGGTCAACTGTGTATGAGACATTTCTCATTCTATTTGGAATCCTTGAAATGCTTTTGGTTCCAAAGACGGACGTTGTGGGGACAAGCACTATCTGCTTACAACCTTTTGTCCCAGAATAACCATGTGTCCACATGGCTCTCCTTCAGGCCGCACGCTAACTACATGGTACCTTGATGGGCTAGAGTTGGCCAAATCCAGGCCCTCCGTCTCCATGGAAACATCTTATTAGGAGGCAGGCCCCTCTGGGCAATGGTCACACAAGAATGATCTGTTTTAGCAAAGCATGTCATAGTCTCTGTCCCCTCTCCCCTGGCACAGATGTAGTCTTTGTCCTCTCACCCTATATAAGCAGTTCCCTCCCTGTACACAATAGTGGTGTGCAACCTTAAATAACATTCTGATCGAACTATAAAAATGCCCTACTCTATCCAGCTGGCTGTTCCTGGACTACCTGTATGTAAGTCCCATAAACCCTCATGTCTCATACGGCATTTCTGGGCCTTTTCTTTGGTCTTTTGAGAGCGTTCTCATTGAATCTCAGCCACTTGAGCATGTAATCAGACTTGTGATCACAAAGATGAAAACACAAGGATTTCTTTATTCTGATTTTTTTTAAATTCCAAAATCTGAGAATATGGCATGAAATGTTATATATATCTCAGAGTGGATAATGCTTGGACAGGGAAGTAAATATAAACACTAAAAAGTGGATATTAAAAATTAAAATACTAGCTAATAAACACATAAACTCACTGTAGCAAAAATGCAAATCAAAATAAGAGGATAGCATTTTCCACTCTTCTCTTCAATTTAGCAGTAAATGAAAAAAAGAACTGTAACATCTAGTGCTGGAAAAGAATGCTGGAGAACATTCTGACACTTTGCTGGTGGGGTTGCAAACTGCTACAAATTCTTTGGAAAGTCATCTTATAATATCTATTAAAATGAAAAAAAATAAACTTCCCTTGACTCAGTAATCCCATTTTTGGATATTATAAAGGCACAAAACTTAGACACAATATGAATATTCATTAGAAGGAGAATGGCTGACCAGAGTTTGGTATTTTTATACTTTGGAATCTTACAATGTTCTTTAAAAAACAAAAATATGCATATGTTTTGATCAGAAGGTTATTCAAATATAGTGTAAATGAACAAGCAAGGTTCAGCTTACTTTGTTTATGATGATATTATTTCACTAAAAATAATAGAAACCTGTATATTTCCAAGTTGTAGGGCAATAAAGATGTGGAAGAATATACTCTAAACTTTTAAGGTTGATTGGCTAAGTGGGTTTAGAAGGGTGGGAAGTATAATGTATCACATGCTTCTTTACATATCTCTACTGTGAATTACCTAAACTATATATTCCTATTTTTTAAAAATCAAGGTATCATTGATATACAGTCTTGTGAAGGCCTCTATCCCTAAAAGAAATGAAAAGATGAGAGAAATCATCCAAACAATATTGCATAATTCAAAGCTTTCCAAGTATTTTCTGTAAGAAAATGCAGTTTCTAATTGCTAATGCCAGCACAGTAGCCCAGGTCCACATCACCCCATAGTTTTACAATTACATGTTGCCATTCTAATCAGAAAGTTGGTGTTTTTGGGTTACACAATTATCACCTTTTTATATTCTTTAAGTATCATGGGCACCATTATCTTTAATATTCACTATGGACTTTCCCTCCATACACTGAAGTCAATTTTAAAATATGGAAGAACACTCTCAAAACTCATGAACATTTCTGCATTTTAATTGAGTACACTCTTCCAGTAGATAGTCTTATCTACACACATTATTTTCAATTCCATCTTTAATCCAATGACTCATACATTTCTATCTCCAGCCCAGACATCTTCTTAGTTCCAAACATGGATATCTAATGTCCTCATCAACTACCTCACTTAGAAGTTTAAAAGATACCCCAAAATCTCATATCAAATCAAATCTCATGATCTATCCCTCCAAGCCCAACCCTGTTTTTCAGTGATAGCCACACAATCTAAGTAGTTGTATCAGCCTGAGACTTGAGGGCAATTCTAGCTACTGTTCTATCTCTCACCTCCATCCCCCATGTTAGATGAATCCATTCATTGTGTTCACCTCCTGAGTATCTCTTTAATGGTTTTACCTCTTTTATATCCACTGCTTTCACTTTCGTGCAAGCTACTATCACAGTTCACCTCATTTCTTGCAGTAGGTTACTATCACTTTCCATGGTTGAATCATACTGACTATCCTTTAAAACAACGTTTATCATTAAAAAAGTTCACATCTGATCACATAGGCTACTGTTTAATCATTCACTGCTCCCAGAGCCTTCCTGCTTCGGGAATGAAGACACTACCTCCACTCTGCAGTTCCATCTTTTCTCCCTTACTTTCTAGGATCCAGCCATACAGACTTTTAATTTTTCTGCAGTCTTGTGCTTCTTCCAGATTCAGTTTCCCTGTATTTGATGCTTTTTACCCTTTCTACTTACCACATCCTTTGGATTTTGGCTCCAGAGCCATCATTTCCTTTGAGGAGCTTTTCATTCCCTCTGAACTGGATCAGCCTTAACTACATAGCTTCCACCACAGTTAATATATAGTTACACACTTGTCGGTTTTCTGATTAATATTTTTCTCTCTTAGTGGACTGTAAGCCGCATAAGGATGGGGCCTTTGTCTATTTTGCTCATCAAATCCCAGCTCTGACAGATGCCTGAGCATGGTATCTGAATGTCCATGAGCTGATTCTAAATTGATAATGTGCTTCAATTTTGACTATGGAACAACAGAATACTTAATTGCCTTGACCAACTTAGAGAATCGTAGCCTCTTGGAATTGTATTGGCCTTGTTTACCAAAAGTGATTGACTGAGTAGAACTCACAGATGATGGAAATGGTGAACTCTACTAGGTAATATATACTTGATACAACTTTTATTGTTAATTTCATCTTTTTTCAGAAATTACTAATTGTTACCATTCTGATTCTAGCATATACACAGATGTTTTTCCAGACTCCTCATCACCTAGTGAATTTTACATAAAACCTCCGTTTTTATAATTAAGCTGGCTAATTTATTATTATAAGCTTTCATTTGTGGGTAGTAGTTAACAGTGTTAAATATAATTGAAATAGAATGAATTTTTCTGATGAAAGACATGACAGTACACGAAGTCCAAGTACATTCAACATTAAACTCTGGATTAATAAAATGGAGATGAGAGTAACAAATCTGTGCAAATAAATTAAATAACAGTGCATCAGGGAAACTGTCTTATAAGCATTCTTATATAATTCTACTAACAACTTTTAAAGGCTCAAGTTAAATTGCCAAGTTAAAAGTCAGTGAACTGCATCAAAGTCATCTGATTAGTTTTTAATGGACCCAGAATTGACTTATAAAGCAGTTTACAAATCAATTCTGCAAGCTTATTACAGTGCACTGAAGGTCAGTACCTACTTTTATTCATTCTTCATCAACTACATTACCCTCCTCCTTTAAAAACAATTCACTGCCTTCCTTAAATTAATTACTCCACAGACATTTAGTTTTCTCCTATAGTTTAGTCATATCCAAAGTGGTACAGATGGTCTTTTCTGCATCACTAGGTTAATATAACCATGTTATACTGCATTACAGATTTAGTTGTCTAACTGTTGTTCATCCAGAAAGAAAACACATTGAGAATTTTGTTCAATGCAAGCACTTTCAGGCACAAAATATAAAACATAGATGAGTATAATCCTGTTATAGTTCTTAACACTGATAAACACCCTTGGTAAGTTAGATCTCCATAGTTGACTATATTTGTTTTCTGACTTGAATAACTAAAATAGATACCATTTAGCCTATTATCTCCTAAAATGTTCAATAAATATGAAAAAACAATAAGATTTTTTACACATTCCCCCAAACAATAGTTAGTACTGATAAACTCCTTGCATGAACGTGATTTTGTTTAAATATACCATTTTCACTAAGAAGACATATAGTTTCTAACATATATGCATTTATAATTCAGACTACTAAAGTGTCTTTCTCAGGACATGTCATTTCTGTAAATCTACTGAATATAAGTTTGGAAACTGCATCTCCATGTATCCTGTGTCTATTTAACTAAAAGCTTTTTACTTCTCAACCAAGCAGGCACACAGATAATCCCATCATCTTTCTCTTTAAAAAGTAGAATCATGACTCCAACCTGTATTTGCAAAGATGTTAAATACTAGGCCCAAAGTCAAATAGGAGATTAGAATAAAGTCAGAATAAAACAGCATGTTCCTTGATACCTAGTTTCAGTTTTACCTAAGATATTGTATTTTCTTGGGCCAGAAAGATTTATAAAAGAATCTAGTGAGAATCATATCTGTCTTCCAAATAAATGTACATAAATGCATACACACAATTTTGCTTAT